AGCATCAGCCTGCAGACCGAAGGATTGTGGGTTCAATTCTATGTCAAGGGCACATTCCGAGGTTGCAGATTCAGTCCCCAGCCCTGGTCGGGGTCATGTGAGAGGCTGGAACTTCTTTCAAAATTGAAGTCAGTCTCAAACCCTGGTACTGCTATATCAACTAGGTTTATGTAATATTCTAAATCCTTTGTTGTCATTTCAAAAATTTTCACATCTTCACCAGAGTAGGTTCCATCTCAGGAAACCACTTTCTTTACTCATCTATAAGAATCAGCTGCTCATCTGTTAAAGTCTTATCATAAGATTGCAGCAATTTAATCACATCTTCAGGCTCCACTTGTAATTCTTTTGCTGTTTCCATCACATCTGCAGTTACTTCCTCCACTGAAGTCTTGAACCACTCAAAGTCATCCATGAGGGCTGGAATCACCTTCAAAACTCCTGTTAAATTACTGTGTTGACCTCTTCTCGTGAATCACAAATGTACTTTTATTTTGTTAATCCTCACCCAACTGATATTTTTCTATTGATTTGTAGACAGAGTGGGAGGGAGGGATGAGGGAGGGAGGGGTGGAGAGAGAGAGAGAGAGACACACACACACACACAGACACCCATGTGAGATACATTGATTGGTTGCCTCCTGCACGACCCCAACTGGGGCTGGGGATCAAACTTGCAACCCAGGTACATGCCATTGACCTGGAATCAAACCTGCAACCCTTTGGTCCATAGGCTGACGCTCTAACCACTGAGCAAGATTGGTCAGGGCACAAATGTTCTTAATGGCATCTAGAATGGTAAATCATTTCCAGAAGATTTTCAGTTTACTTTGGCAGCAATAGCCTTAGAAAATGTATTTCTTAAATAATAAGGCTTGAAAGTCAAAATTAGTCCTTGATCTATGGGCCAGGTGTTGTGTTAGCAGTCTTGAAAACAACAGTAATCTCATTGTACATCTCCACAAGAACTCTTGGGTGGCCAGGTGCATTGTCAGTGAGCAGTAATATTTTGGAAGGGATCTTTTTTTCTGAGCAGTAGGTCTGAACAGTGGGTTTCAAATATTCAATAAACATGTAAACAGATGTGCTGTCATCCAGACTTTGTTGTTCCATTTACAGGCAGGGTAGATTTAGTGTAATTCTAAAGGGCCCTAGGAGTTTTGGATGGAAAATGAGCATTGGTTTCAACTTGAAGTAACCAGCTGCATTTGCCCCTAACAAGAGAGTCAGCCTGTCCTTTGAAGCTTTGAAACCAGGCATTGACTTCTCTTCTCTAACTATGAAAGTCCTAGATGACATCTTCTTCCATTATAAGGCTGTTTTGTGTACACTAAGAATCAGGTGTTTAGTGTAGCCACCTTCATCAATGATCTTAGATCTTCGGATAACTTGCCGCACTGTCTACATCAGCACTTGTACTATTATGTTATGGAGATGGCTTCTTTCCTTAAAGCTCATGAACCTCTTAAACCTCTGCTAGCTCTCAATTTTCCTTCTGCAGCTTCTTCACCTTTCCCAGCCTTCATAGAATTGAAGAGAGTTAGAACCTTGTTCTGAGTTAGGCTTTGGCTTAAGGGAATGTTGTGGCTGGTTTGATCTTATCCAGACCACTTATAACTTTCTCTATGTCAGCAATAAGGCTGTTTTTCTTTCTCTATCATTTGTCTGTTCACTAGAATAGCACTTTTTAATTTTAAAGTATTTTTAAGCCCGGTCAGTGTGGCTCAGTGGATTGAGCATCGTTCCACGGACTGAGAAGTCCCGGTTCGATTCCCAGTCAGGGCACATGCCCAGGTTGCAGGCTTGATCCCCAGTAGGGGGTGTGCAGGAGACAAGCCAATCAGTGTTTCTCCCTCACATCAGTGTTTCTCTCTCCCTTAAAAAAAAAAAAAATTCAATAAAAACATTAAAAAATTTATTTTAATTTGTCTTTATTGTTGAGTGTATTATAGACGTCCCCCATTTTTCTCTCATTTACTTCTCCACCTAGCTCCTGCCCCACCCCAGGCCTTCACTGACTGCACCATTGTCTGTGTCCATGGGTTATGCCTATGTGCATATAAGTTCTTTGGTTACTCTTCTTCAAGAACTTTTCCTTTGCATTCACAACTTGGCCAACTCTTTGGCATAAGAGGCTTAGTTTTTGGACTAGCTTTGGCCTATCTTGGCTTTTGACTTGCTTTCCTCACTAAGTTCAGTCATTTCTAGATTTTGATTTAAAGTGAGACTTTCTAATTAAAAAAATAAAGTGATACTTTCTTTCACTTGAACACTTAGAGGCCATTGTAGGATTATTAATTGGCCTTATTTTAATATTGTTGTGTGTCAGGGAATAGGGAGGTCCCAGGAGAGGGAGAGAGACAGGGCAGTGCCTGGTTGGTGGAGCAGTCAGAAGACAAACACTATCAATTAAATTCATTGTCTTATATGGGAGCTATTCAAGGCATCCTCAAAACAATTACAATAGTATCATCAAAGATCACTGGTCACAGATCACCATAACAAACATAGTAATAATGAAAAAGTTTGAAGTATCACTGGAATTACCAAAATGAGACACAAAGACACAAAATGAGCAAAAGTTTTTGGAAAAATGGTGCCTAGAAACTTGGCTAGACGCAGGGTTGCCATAGGCCGTAGGTTTATAAAAAACGCAGTATCTGCCAAGTATAGTTAAGTGCAGTGCAATTAAACAAGGTATGCCTGTACCATTTACGTAATTTTTAAAAACGTGCAGAATAATACCATGTTTTACTTTTTTTTTTTTTTTTTTATCCTCACCTGAGAACATTTTTCCATTTTTTGTTCAGGTAGAGTGGGAGGGAGAGAGAGGAACAGAGAGAGAGAGAGAGAAACATCAGTGTGAAAGGAACACATCGAGTGGCTGCCACCCACACGACCGACCGGGGCCGGGGACAAACTGCAACCGAGGTACGTACCCTTAGCGGGAACCAAACCCGGGTCTCTCAGGACCGCAGGCCGGCTGCTGAGCCAAACCGGCCAGGACTGTTTTACTTTTTTATACATTCATAATAATAACAGTCTAAAAACATGCATGGTAGTAAACGCATCTGATTTAGGATATATTGATCTCTGGGAAGGGAGTAAGAACATTGAGATCAGGTAGTGATTCGTAGGAACCTTTAACTGTGTATAATATTGAGAAAGGAAAGGGAAATAAGGCAGAATGCTAATATTTGATAGTCATGTTGTGCGTGTACTTTTATGTTTGAAATATTGAATAGGAGGTCTGATAGGTAAGGTAACAATGCATTGAGTGTGGCAAAGGGGAACTGTGGAGGTATATTTTGGTGGTAGTAAATGGTTTGGGTGTAGGAAGTTAGGGAGACAATGTTAAGGATGACTCCCAGATTTTGGTTGGTGTTGGTTTGTCATTTATGAGAGAACGCAAAGACTGTGATAGGAACAATTTAGGAACAGTTTTGGGAAAAGATGGTATATTTCGCTTTGAACAAAGGGAACTCTAGATGTCAGGTAGGTGGTTAACTATCTGAATTTAAGATAAAAAAGGATTTAGACTAGAGACAAATTTAGGAAAGTCATGGATAAGATTGTCCAGGAAATACATATATATACAGGGTTGGCAAAAGTAGGTTTACAGTTGAAATACAAATCAAGAATACAATAAATAATAAATGAGTACAAGAATAAACTCTGTTTTGTACTCACAGCTGTAAACCCACTTTTGCCCACCCCTGTATGTAGTGTAAAGAAAGGGGATCCAAACTCTTTCCCTTAGAACCTCCCAGAGGGCAGAGAAGCCTGCAAAGGGATAAACTGAGGAGGAGTGGCTAGAAAACCAGGAGGAGAGGGGAGTATCCTGGAAGCCAGGACAAGTTCATGTTTTAAGCAGCAGTCGTCTGATGCAGTGCAAAAACCAGTCACTCTACCACAGTTCCTTATTTTGTTTTCCTGACAGCAGTGATCTGTACCTGAAATGATCCTAACCTATTTTTGTCTGTGTTTGTCTCCACACAGTTGCATGTGGGCTTCTTGAAGGTAGGACTATTTTTCTGAGCCAGTTGAATATCTGGTACATAATAGGTACTAAAATGTTTGTTGATGGATTGATTTATCAGATACGACAAGAGCTAGTTATTTCCTGCTACTAGTCTTTAATGTTTAAGAGCACAAATAGAGAGATGATTACATTTTAGGATTTATTTTTATAGGCTTGTCATGGTGAAGTTAAAGAAAATTTAATGTTAGAAAAGCACAAGAGAAGTAAAGAAGGTTAAAAATAGTCTTATGTTAGATCCTGTAAGAGTTCACACTTGTCTTACAGCTGCCATGCACCTTCCTTTCTTGGAAATATTGTTAGTGCATCTGCAGTAGAATTTCTACTGTTTTGTGTGATAGAGGAGAGATTGTATAATTTTTTAAGAGACAAGTTGTCAAACCTTGAGTATGAGAAGTTTGGAATGTTTGTGTTTGATGCTGTTGGGAGAATACACAAGAAATAAGATATGATATACAACCAAAGAACTCTTTCTTCAACATGCCTCTAGTAGTGGGTGATACATGGTGATAATACTAGCTAACATCCTAAATTTACTGTGTGGTAGTTATTCTTCTAAGCCCTTTACAAGTATTTATTTTTTTCATCCACAGCCCTCCAAGGTGGGTATTATTATTATTTACCTAATTGTATGAATCAATTGAAATTGAGACCCAGAGGAGTAAACTAACTTGTCTATGATCATCACATGGCTAATAGGTGGCAGGGCCAGAATTTGGACCCAGGTATTCTAACATTGTCTCTCCATAGCATACTCAGTGTTCTTGGCTGAATGCTGTTCAGAAGTCACTTAGAGAAACTTCCCTGATGATGCATGCCCTGCCCCCCCCCCTCGGCAATTTACCCTCACTGTAGAATTTTGAATACTCAGCTGTTAGAATAAAGCTTGTCTAATTTTTACAATGTTTAGAATGTATCTTTTTTACTGTAAAGGTTGATCATGAAGCTCTTTTTCTTTTAGTGAAAGGCAAAGAAGATAAGACCTCAGATGCCAAGTCAATTAAAGGTGAGTTCAGCAACATTCTATTGTGTTAAAAAGTGATGTGCTTTGCATTTATAAGCCCTTCCATCCTGTTATCTTCTCCCGTCTTTTGCCATTAATAATTTTTGCCTTTTTTTAAAAGAATTATTTATGATTGGCTTATTTCCCTGTTTAACTTTTATATACCCCAACACCTAGCATATATAGGCTTTTGCTAAGCATCTGTTGGCTGTTCTAGTGGTTACAGTGAACTAGTGCCTTCCTTATTAATCATACATCTGATTGTTCCCTAAAAGCGGTTAGTTGACTTTATTTTAAATCAACAAAAAGGGAAAAATACTCTTAACTGACAACTGAGTGAAAGCACTGCCACTTGCAAGGTTTGGTTATCTGTTTGTCCACAAGTGTGGATGGTTATAGTTTTCACTTCGTTCCTTTGAATGAATGGCTTTGACTTGAAATTTATTCTGAGTACTTTATTGGAATCAATATATTGTCCCTATTTATATGATATTCTTAGATTATAATCTCTACTGTAGTTTTGACTGATTTCATTCTGTTGATGTACAAAGATTAGGATGGGAAAGTTATAATGGAAATTATTTTCATAGCCATTACATATAAATTTTATAAATGGCACCTGCTGGGGATCTGGCCCACAACCTGGGCATGTGCCCTGACTGGGAATTGAACCAGTGACCTCTTGGTGCATGAGTCGATGCTCAACCACTGAGCCACACCGGCCGGGTAGTATAAATGGAATTTATTTATATGAAATCTGTGAATTGCTACTTATTTAGATTTTTCTTTCAAATGTTTATATGTTGTGTGATTAGCATTGAGTATTAACTCTATATGCTCAATTTGCTGAAGAGAGATTAATTATAATTTGAGATCTGTAAGATTATTTCCTGCTTATTTCTGATCATTTAAAGCCAAAGGGGTTCCACATTAGTTTATATTGGCCTCTAATTTGATTGACATTGATAGAGGATGAAAGCCCTTAGCAAGCAGAGGCTTGTGAAGACTAGATCTGATTGTAGTAGGAAGGAGGGACCTTGATGTCCCAGGCATACCAGTCTTCTAACACTAAAGTATAACTTTGGAAATTATGTAACTTTCTTTAGATTCTTCATTTGTAGAATGAGAGGACTGGCCTACCTAACTTCTACATCTGTACCAGGCTAATAAAAGTTCCATGCTTGTACTCTATTTATGACAGTATATAATCTGTGCTTAGCATTCCTGACTTAACTGAAAAAAATCATTTGAAGACAGCTTCATTGCATAATTCTCCCAGCGCTTATTGAATGAACGATAAATATAGATACCTAGAAAACAGGTATGGATATTCATGTTTTTATCTACTTTATTCTGTAAACATATCTCAAGGAGTAATAGACTAAATTACAGTACGTTGTATTCTTCATAGGAACTGTTACCAAATATTACTCAGATTCTGTGTTTGGAATGGTTTACTAAGATTGAGAGCACCTGTTTGTTGACTGCTCAATAAAATAAGTGGTGCTAATAGATACAAGTTTAGTATCTGAGAGTATCTTGAGGGTGTGGAATGCTAAGAGACCTGTATTGTTTCTGTCCTTTCTATAGCAATATGCTAAACCAAAACTCATTAAAATCCTTTAATAAGAGTCTTTGATATTTGTGTGAAATGAATAGGATAGGTAGAATTTTAATTCAGCTGTAGTGACAAGTTCATAGTGTTACTTTATAGTATTGTAATATCGAGTTGACTGTTTCCTATTAACACATTGGTAACCTCTTTATTCTGAAGTCAAAAGGATGATATATATTTCTTCAGAAAATATATTTTGTGAATTTTTAAATGTACTCTTTGAAAGCACTTTGAACTTTGATCATAAGTGTTTTTTATTAGATGGAGAAATTTTGTTACTCAATTAAAAAGTGAAATAAGTGTTCTGAAGAGTACTTTAAAAAAAAAGAAATTCCCCCCACTAATCTTAGTTTTTTTTTTATCCTCACCCAAGGACACTTTTCCATTTTTTGTTCAGATAGAGTGGGAAGGGGAGAGAGAGAGCAACATAGACGTGAAAGGGAGACATTGAGTGGTTGCCACCCACATGACCCAACCAAGGCCAGGGACAAACTGCAACCGAGGTACGTGCCCTTAGCGGGAACCAAACCGGGTCTCTCCGGACCGCAGGCCGACGCTCCAACTGCTGAGCCAAACCAGCCAGGGCATCTTAGTTTTGTTCCTTGGGCAAAAGGGTTCATTTTTCAGAATGTTTCCTGGCTTAGGTACTGTCTATCCTCAGTCGAACTTCTCAAAGGAAGATCTCTCTTTCAAGTTCCATTTTTGGCACAGTATTTTGAAAGTTATAAATAATAATAGAACTTTTTTTTTCCCACTTTTCTGCTACTTGATTAATTTACCTTTGCCTTAAGTCTTGTTGAGTATGCTTACATAAGAGAGGTGTTACAAAACTGAATTTTTGAAGTTCTCTTAAAGCCCTCTTTTGAGAAAAAAGAACTTTTAAGATAGTTTTGAGAAACTATCAAATTTTAATTTTCCACAATTTTTTTTTGAAAAATTACAGCCTCAATATCTGTACATTCCCCACAAAAAAGCACTAAAAATCATGCCTTGCTGGAGGCCGCGGGACCAAGTCATGTTGCAATCAATGCCATTTCTGCCAACATGGACTCCTTTTCAAGTAGCAGGACAGCAACACTTAAGAAGCAGCCAAGCCACATGGAGGCCGCTCATTTTGGTGACTTGGGTAAGTGACATTTACTTTTTGTTAACTTACAATAGGAGGAAGGAGTTGAGTATAATATATGAAACTCCTGCCAAAGGATACTGAACTATATAATTAGAAGAGGCTTTGAAAAAAATGTATTTAAATTAAAATAACAGCTATAAGTGTAATGGAAGCCCCGTGTTTTGTTCCTATGAATACAAAATATAAAGCATGCCCAATAGAAAAATTACTGTTTCTTATAGAAGAAGAAATGCATTTGGCTTAACTCTGTGAAAAAGATGCCTTATTTCACTGATGCTCAGGGAAATGTACATTAAAATAAGTAAGCCCTGGCCCATTTGGCTCAGCGGTTAGAGCGTCGGCCAGCAGACCAGAGTCCTGGGTTCGGGTTCCCACTAAGGGCATGTACCCGGTTGGGGTCATGTGGGTGGCAACCAGTTGATGTGTCTCTCTCACGTCGATGTTTCTCTCTCTCTCTCTTCCTGCCTCTCCCCCTCCCGCTCTATCTGAAGATAAATGCCAAAAAAAAAAAGTAAATAAAAAAAAATATGTCTGGCTGGTGTGGCTCAGTGATTGATCATCGACCCATGCACCCAGAGGTCGCTGGTTTGATTCGGGTCAGGACGACATGCCCAGGTTGTGGGCCCGATCCCCAGTGGGGGCATGCAGGAAGCAGCCAGTCGATGTTCTCTCTCATTGATGTTTTAGTTTCTCTCTCTCCCTTTCACTTTTTCTCTAAAATCAATAAAGGAAAAAGAAAAAGAAATAAAAATAGCCCTGGCTGATTTGCTCAGTGGTTAGAGCATCAGCCCACGGACCAATGAGTCGCGGGTTCAATTCCGGTCAAGGGCACATACCTCAATTGTAATTCATCCCGGGCCCTGGTTGGGGTTGTGCGGGAGACAGCCACTTGATATGCCCCTTTCACGTCAATGTTTCTCTCTCTCCCTCTCTTCCTCTTTCTCCTTCCCACTCTGTCTGAACAAAAAATGGAAAAATGGCCTCGGATGAGGATTTAAAAATAAAAATAAGTAAATATTTAAGTTTGATAATTTGAATGTTAACATAGATACAGAGAAATAGGCACTTCTTTTTAGTGGAAATGTAAATTGAAGATTTTTTAGAAGGCAGTTTGGAGGTATTTATCAAAATATGTAATCTACAGTCTAGTCCTCAGCTATGCTCACATATATGCACAAAGATGTATACATAAGTATGTGTAAGGCTGTTCATTGCAGTATTATTTGTGATAGGAAAAAATCAGGAACAACATATAAAAACCCATAGTAGAGAAATAGTCAAAATTTGGTGTGCCCATTTCTGGAATACTGTGTAACCATTTAAAGTCTGAAAAAGAAATGTCTAAGATATGTTAAAATGAAAAAAGCAGGTTACACAGCAGTATGTATAGTAGGATCCCTGGTGTGTAAAATAACTCCTTTCACTCCCAACACCCTGCAAAATGGAAAAAAAAAAGATATGCAAGAGATTTCTTAAAACTGTGCATGAATCTACTATATCTCAAAAATAAAAGTTTAATTAAGAAAAATTGTAGGTCTTTCAGGGGATCATGATTTCCTGAAGTTCACAAAACTGATACCTACAGAAAGATGGACTAATTAACATTGTCAATAAGATAGTCAACAAAGATGACATGTAAAGTGTTGCAAAGGAAAATGGTTTGAGTAGCAAAGGATTAAGAAAAGCCCTATTGAAAAATTGATGAAACTATCAGTAAATTTTATGAAAATGCACCTCTTTATGTCATCTTGTAACAGTTAAAAAAAAATACTTGATTTTTTTGTTTTCTAATAGCTGTGGTTATAATCATAACTTAAATCTAGTTAAGTGTAAAACAAACTTTTTAAAATTAAGTTTAGTTTTATTTTTTAAGATAAAGTTCCACATTTTTGCATTTATCTTCAGATAGAGCAGGTGGGAGAGAGGGAGGAAGAGAGAGAGAAACATTGATGTGAGAGAGACACATCAAGTGGTTGCCACCCACGTGACCCCAACCAGGGCCGGGGACAAACTGCAACTGAGGTACGTGCCCTTAGCGGGAACCGAACCTGGAACTATCTGGTCTGCAGGCTCACGCTCTAACCGCTGAGCAAAACCAGCCAGGGCCAGAGCTACTCATTATTCTGTTTTAAATAATACTGAGAGCTCATAACACTTTCCTAGCTATATCCACACATCCACAATTGCTTTTCAGGATAAGTTCCTAGAAATGGAGTGCTTGGATTGGAAATCTTACAGATTGCTAAGGTTTGCTCTCTGTTACTAAATGATCCTCCATAAAGGTTTTGCCAGTTTACATTCTCATCATCAGTGGTGAGAGTGCTTCCTGTTTTGTTGTGCCCTGATTAGTGCTTGTTACTATTTTTGAAAAAATATCCTCCAGTTGGATAGGCAAACATTTATCTTGTATTAATTTGCTTTTCTGGGATTTTGTTGTTGCTGTTGTTACTTGTCACCAGAGGATATTTTTAGAGAGAGTGGAAGGGAGGGAAGGAGGGAGAAACATCCACTGATTGGTTGCCTCCTGTATGACCCCAACTGGGCCAGAGATTGAACCTGCAACCCAGGTACATGCCCTTGACAGGAATCAAACCTGTGACGCTTCAGTCCATGGGCCAACACTAACTGCTGAGCCAAATCGGCCAGGGCAGCTTTCCTAGGATTTTTTATTTTTTATTTTATTTTATTTTTTTTTTCAATATTTTGTTCAGATGGAGTGGGGGTGGGGGAGAGAGATGAAAGAGACCCCAAGCCGACGCTCTAACCGCTGAGCCAAATCAGCCAGGTCTTTCCTGGGATTTTTAATGAGGTTGATAGACTATTTAAAAAAAATTTTATTGGCCTTTTTTTTTTTAAATTGTGCTAGTATCATAAGAATCTTTTAAAAGAATTTATATGGTCTGAATTGCTATTAAAAGAGAGATGAAGATTATTTGAGTAACAAAGAGCTTTTGAATAATTTAAATAAGTTTTGGACAGTTGTTTTTTTGCTTGTTTAGAAACCAAAACCATACTATTTCTAGTTCATCCATTTAAGTTGCTAAGAAAAATTTATTTAACTTTTATGCTAAAGGTTCCTGACTAATCTGTCAATCTTAAATTATTTGTTACTGAACTGCTAATTCTTTTGCTTTTTTTAGGCAGGTCTTGTCTGGACTACCAGATTCAAGAGGCCAAATCAAGTCTTTCAAAGACCCTTGAACAAGTCTTGCGTGACACTATTGTCCTCCCTTATTTCATTCAATTTATGGAACTTCGGAGAATGGAGCATTTGGTTAAATTTTGGTTAGAAGCTGAAAGTTTTCATTCTACAACTTGGTCCCGTATAAGAGCACACAGTCTGAACACAGTGAAGCAGAGCTCGCTGGCTGAGCCTGTCTCCCCATCTAAAAAGCAAGAACCTGCAGCATCTTTTATAACTGAGTCTCTTGACAAGAGATTAGAGGATTCTAGCTCAGCCCAATTGCTTATCACTCAATCAGAAGGAATTGACCTGAATAATAGAACTAGCAACACCCAGAATCACTTGCTCCTTTCCCAGGACTGTGACAGTGCCCATCCCCTCCATCTTGAAATGGCCAGAAGAGAAACTCATCAGATTTCCATGCAAACCCAAGAATCCTTCTCCAGACTTACAGTTGCCAGTAGAAATAGTCTCTCTTCTCCACTAAAGGAATTATCAGGAAAACTAATGAAAAGTAAGTGTGCAATTTCCATCTTTCTCTTTGTTCTGTTTTGTTTTGTTTTGTTTTGTTCTTTAGTCAACATACAAAGTGGAACTTGAGGTGGAGAATGAAAGAATTGGACTAATTTTTTCTCCCATACCCACTTTCAAATTTGGGAGGATTTAGAGAGTGCCCTGGAGTAGAATCAGTGTATAAAAAAGGAACAGAAGGGATAGCTATAGTGATTGGATCCTCTAAGAAGAATGTTAATAGAATTAACAAATGAAGAAGAGTCAAGTATCATTCTACTTATCCTTCCACAGATTTTGAAATCAAAGCATTATCCACATAGACTTAGTCCCTCCTGCCTGTCTTAATTTTATTGTAATTTTACTGTACTTTGCAGATAAATTTATTTTTTAATTGCTAGTATTTGACACTTATTGAGTTCTGTGCTAAATGCTATACTTAGATTTTATTTTATAGTCAGCACCTCTGTGAGGTAGGCATTATTATTCTGTTTTGCAAGAGAAAACCATGGCTTAAAAAGGTTAAGGAACTTGCCCTAGGTTTTTTTTTTTTTTTTAATATTTTTTCTTTATTGATTTTAGAAAGAGAGGAAGGGAGAGAGAGATAGAAATATCAATGAGAGAGAACATCAATTGGCCGCTTCCTGCATGCCCCACACTGGGGATCAGGCCCACAACCTGGGCATGTGCCCTGGCCAGCAATCGAACTGGAGAACCTCTTGGTGCATGGGTTGACGCTCAACCACTGAGCCACACTGGCCGGGCTGCCCTAGGCTTTATACTCAGTGGGAAGCTAGAATTGTAGCCCAGGCATTTCACGACAGCCCCTTACTTTTTTATTCTTTATTTGGAAATTATGTGCTCTTATTTTTCAATTATCACTTGGAAATCTAATTACATAGTCTTTGTGTTTTTATTCTATTTGTTCTTTGTTTCTCAGAGGGCTTGGTGATTTCCTTTTGTTTTCTTCTTGTTTGCCTTTTTTTTTTTTCTATTAAGACTTTATTTTTTTAGACTAAAGTTCACAGCAACATTGTAGGGAAAGTGCAGATTTCATATATACTGTCTAGGCATTGTGGTTTGATCTTCTACCCATTTTGAGCCCTGGGCAACTGTCTTTGAAACTGCAAGTTCTAAGTCTCTTGAAGTTGGTGGTCTTTCTCAGGTAAATGCCCTCCCTGTCTTGCACTTTTACCCATACTGATTTGCACTGGCTTCTATAGGTCCGTAATTCCTTATCTACAATTCCAGAAATCCAGAAAGCATTGTCTGCCACAAGTTATTTTTAAAATGAACAAAACTTTACCTGAACTGGTATGAATCCATTATAGAAATATGAATGTGTTTGATTATGGGGTATTGATAACAGTATAAATAAATATTGTGTATTACCTCTGTAACCCCTCCACCCCCAATTTTTAATTCTAAAATGTTGCCAGCCCCAGAGGTTTCAGATAAGGGAGCTGCCTATACTTGTTTCTACCTCTCATTTCCCGTACTTTACCACAAGCTCTGATATACTTTTTTAAAGCATTTTAGGAATTTCTTTGACTATCTAGTCTGGCCTGTTTCTGGAAATGGAAGTCCAAAGTCTGTTTCTTTATTTGTAATATACTTTATTGTTTTTGGAAACTATCTTTGTTTTGGTGGTTCTTCATTTCAGTAAAAAATAGAAATAGTAGTAGATTTATTTTAAAAGTACTTTTTTTCCTTTTTTATTATTTTAAAAATTTATGTGCAGTGAATTGACCTTTTTGATGTGTACTTGTATGAATTTGGACACATGCATAGATTCTTGTAACTGTCATCACAAGTAGGAGAAAGATAGTTTTGTCACCTTCATAGTTAAATTCCTCTGTATCCCAACACTTGCAACCTTGCATTCTCTGTCTCTAACTTTGCCTTTTCCAGAGTGCCATGTAAGTGAACTTTATAGTATGTAGCTTTTGAGTCTGGTTTCTTTTGCTCAGCATAATGGCTTTGAAGTTCATCCATGTTCCTTACAACAGTAGTTTATTGCTAAGTAGTATTCTACTGTATGGATATACTATCTATTTACCTGTTCAAGAACATGTGGGTTGTTTCCAGTTGCCAATGATTATGAATAAAGCTGTTATAAACATTTGTTTACAGGCTTTTGTGTGGGCAAAGTTTTATTTCTCTAGGGCAAATACTTAATGGGGGTGCTGGATTATGTGGTAAGTGTGTATTATCTGAAAAACTGCCGGACTCTTTTGTAGAGTGGCTGTACCATTTTGCATTCCTACCAGCAATATATGAGAGTTCTATTTGCTTGTTTCTTTGCCACAACTTGGTATAATTGGCTTTTTGTTTATTTAGGTTTTTTTTTTTAAGCCATTGTAACAGATGTATAGTGGTATCTCATTTTGGTTTTACTTTACATTTCCCTAATGGTTAATGATATTGAATCATGTACATATTTGCCATCTGTATATCTTTGGTGAATTGTTGAGATCTTCCCCCATATTTTGTTTGATTGTTTGTTTTATTGTTATTGCATTTTGAGAGTTCTTTATATGTTCTGGATATAAGACCTTGATTTGCAAATGTTTTCTCCTAGTTTATAGCTTGACTTCATTTAACAGAATCTTTCACAGAGCAAAAGAACTTTTTCATTAAATCCATTTTATCAACTTCTCCTTTATGGATTGTGCTTTTGGTGACATAACTAAGAGCTCTTTGCCTAATAAAATGTCATGAAGATTTTCTCCTGTTTTCTTTGAAAATATTATTGTATTTTATACTTTACATTTAGATATGTAATTCGTTTGGAATCAGTATTGTGTAAGATGTGAAGGTTAGGCCAAATTTTTTGTGTTTTTTTTTTAATGTGGATACCTGATTGTTCTAACACAATTAATTGAAAAGACTACTCTTAATACATTGAATGAATTGCCTCTGTACTATGGCCATATTAGTGTGGGTCTGTTTCTGGACTCTGTTTTGTTCCATTGTTTTATGTGTCTATTTCTTCACCAATACCACATTATAGATTTATAATAAGTCTTAAAATTGGGTAGTATGAGTCTTCAACTGTGTTCGTCCCTCCATCCTTCCTTCCTTCCTCACCCAAGGAAATATTTCCATTGAGTTTTAGATAGATTGGAAGGGAGGGAGAGGAAAAAAAACATTGGTGTGAGAGAGATACATTGATTGCCTCCCGATCGACCCAGACAGGGGCCGAGGATCGAACCTGGAACCCCAGGTATGTGCCTTGACTGGGAGTTGAACCCATGACCTTTCCGTCCCAGGACCAACACTCTAACCACTGAGCCAAACTGACCAGGGCTGTTCTTTCTTTTTCAAATTGTTTTGTATGCTCTAGCTTCTTTTATTTTCATATAAATTTTAATTTTTTTTTTCTTTATTGATTTTTAAAGAGAGAAGAAGGGAGAGGGAGAAAGGGATAGAAACATTGATGAGAGAGAACCTCAATTGGCCACCTCCTGCATGCCCCCCACTGAGGATTTGGCCCACAACCTGGGCATGTGCATTGACTGGGAATCAAAGCAGTGTTCTCTTGGTGCGTGGGTCGACCCTTAACCACTGAGCCACACCAGCTGGGTGATTTTTTTCATATAAATTTTCGAATAATCTTATCTGTATCTATAAGAGAAACCCTGCTGGAATTTTCATTGGAATTGCATTCAGACAATAGGTCAGTCTGGGGAAAATTTACACCTTAACTATAGGGTTACAATCCATAGGCCCTTCATTTATTTATATGTGCCTCTTCATTTATTTAGGTCTTTGATTTCTTTCATCAGCATTTTGTAGTTTTCAGCATAAAGATTCTTTACATGTTTTGTTAGACTTAGATATCTAAGCGTTTATTTTTGGTGCTATTGTGAATGGTATTTAAAAATTTTTTGTTTCTAATTTTTTAATGCTAGTTTATAGAAATATGATTGACTTTTCTATGTCAACCTATTCTGTGACCTACTAAACTCACAACTTTTAGGAGCTTTTTTGGTAGATTCTCGGGATTTTCTACATAGACATTCACATTATCTGTGAATAGAGACTTTTATTATTTATTTTTTTTTCTTGCTTTATTCACTAGCTGGGACTTCCTGTACCATGTTGATTAGGAATGGTGAGAACACAGTCACTATTAAGTTTGAAATTAGCTATGGAGTTTTGAAAATGCCCTTTTATCAGATTGGTGAGATTCTCTTTTAATAGTTTACTGAGAGTTGTTGTTTGAATCATGAATGGTGTTGAATTTTGTCAAATGTTTTTGTGTGTGTCGTTTTATATAACCATGTGATTTTCTTTTTTTTGTCTGTTAATCTAACATAGATTGATTTTTAATACTGAATAAGCTTGCATTCTCACAGTAATATTCATTTGATTGCGGCATATTGTTCTTTTTATTTTACTGGATTTGGTTTCCTAAGCATTTTTATTTTTAGGCTCATGATGCATATTGGTCTGTAGTTTTCGTATACTGCATTGGGTATCTGTGATTGTGGCCCTGTAAAATGAATTGGGAAGTTTCCCACTTCTCTTGTTTTCCAGAAGAAATTGTGTAGAATTGCTGTTAAATGTTTGGAAGAATTTGCAAGGGCCTGGAATTTTGTTTTTCAGAATGTTTCAAACTTTGAATTCAGTTTCTTTAGTAGATATAAGACTGATCAGATTATTAATTTTTATCTTGAGTGAATTTTAATAGTTTATGATTTTTAAGGAATTGTTATTTCATCAAATTCTTGACTATATGGACATGTAATTATCTACCATTACCTTAACATCTTTTTAATCTTGAGTTTATAGTGATATCCATCTCTTTCATTTCTGATGCTAGTAATTTTATCTTTTTTCTTTGTAAGTATGTATAAGGGTTTATTTGTCCTTTTCAAGGAATCAGCTTTTTATTTAATCAACTTTTATCTGTTGTTTTTCTGTTTTCAAGTTCATGATTTTTTTTAATCCTCACCTAAGGATATGTTTTTTGTTGACTTTTTAGGGGAGGGGGGCATC